TCCCCCCAGCGAGAGGTAATCGCGAGCCGGCCTAATCCAGTAACCGAGCACTCTCCGATGACGATGCGTTCGGCGCTCACAGAGACAGAGAGAGAGAGAGAGAGAGAGAGAGAGAGAGAGAGAGAGAGAGAGAGAGAGAGAGAGAGAGAGAGAGAGAGTGAGTGAGAGAGAGAGAGAGAGAGCTGAGCGAGCTGACAGCTGAGAGAGAGAGAGAGAGAGAGAGAGAGAGAGAGAGAGAGAACGCCGGCCTCCGCGGTTTGAGCTTTGACGGATGACGCCCCCTCTCCACTCTCGCGGCATTTTTGTCATTCTCCCCCGCTTTTCCTTCACAGATGGGGAGCCAGTACGCCGAGCAGCCCGAAAGCTGCACGCGGAGAGCCCAGAGCCAGACCACCCCGATGCCTCTCTCTACCCGCCGGCGAGGGTGATGTGTGGTACATCTCGCGCCTACCTCGCGAGAGTGGCGCCCCCCGTGCCCGCACCCGCACCCCCCCCCCTTTTGCCTCTCCCTCACGTCGCCGCCCCACCCACCTTGTCTTGCACGGCACATGCGACGGCCTGGCAGCGCGCGTCGTTCGCGCTCGCAACCGCCACCGCCGCAGCCGCGGCGGCACCCTCGACGTTGCGGCGCACGGGCGGGAGTGGAGGCATGGCGAGGCGCGGCGCGGCGTTCCACGGTGGGTCGGCGCTGGGCCGCGCCACCGCCGCCGCCGCTGCCGCTGCCGCCGCCGCCGCCGACGCCACCGACGCCGCCGCCGCCGCTGCCTCGAGGCCCATGGGGGGGGGCGCCTGGACGCGAAGTGCGCGGTCGGGGTCACGGGATTGTGCAGTGTGCTCACGGAATCGCGTGGCTGTGAGCACAGCTCAAGACGGCAGGTGGCAGTTGGGCCCTTCTGTGCGTGTGCCCTCTCGAGAGCTTGTTGGAATGCACGCATCTGCATTCCGGAGACAGCATCTAGGGGCGGTCCGCCGGCGTACGCAGTGGCGGCATCGCGTCGGGCGGGGACGCTCCCGGCCCGCGGCTCTCCTACATCGCAAGGTTGGGGGGGAGGCTCTCGGGAGGCGTCCGGGAAGGGCCTGGAGGAGGCTAGCCGCCCGCGGCTCGCCTCGAGCCCCCGCCCGCTGTTTGGCAGCGTCGTGTTTGGGAAGACCTGAGCAATGCCGCAAGCGCTCCGACGGGAGCCGAGACGGCCGAGATGAGATGCCATGCGTCGAGATGACAGACGAGAGAAGCCGGGAGATGCGCCGAGATGCGCCGAGATGCGCCGAGATTAGCCGCGCCCGGAAGATGCCGCTCGCCGGCGACGCCGACACGGGGACCGCACAGCGCGAGGCGACGAGCAGCCGCTGCGGGGTGCCGGGAAGGACGGAGAGCGTGGAGTCGACGATCAGCGGCGTGGCGGCGCCGCTGACGGCGACGCGATGCACCACGCGTGCCGCGCATGCCGGGGCGTCCACTGCGCTGCCGCTGCCCGACGCGGCGGCGAGGAGGGCGCGTGCGGTCTGCACGAAGGCAACGTGCTCGTCGGCGTGGAGCACCCGCAGCAGCGACACGCCCGATAGCTCGGCGGGCGAGAAGCCGAACGGGCGCGGCGTGAGGCAGCCGGAGATTGCGAGGTCGGGCTGCACCACGAGCACCTGGCGCGAGATTAGGCGAGATTAGGCGAGATTGGCAGAGATCGACTCGAGAGTGGCCGAGGTGGGGCGCTGCGCCGCAAGCACACCGAGCAGCCCGTCGCAGCGAGCACCTCGAGGGCGGCGGGAGTGATGCCCGACACCGCCTCACCGCCCGGGTGCGCGCCGCTGGGCAGCAGCTGCTGCCGCCCCCCTCCGGCCGGCTTTGGCGGCGCGCGCGGCGGCGGAGGGACGGCGGCGGCGCCGCTCACAGCGTGCGCCCCGGATCGCTGCCGCACCAGCAGCCGCACGTCCGAGCTTTGCGCGTCGGGGCGCTCGCCTAGTGGACATGTCTCGGCCATGTCTCGGGCATGCCATGTCTCGGGCATGTCTCGGCCATGTCTCGGCCATGTCGGGCGCGGTCCAGAGTGTGTCCTCCGTGTTCCGCATCTGAGGAGCCGCTCACGCCGTGCGCGCGTGCGCTTCCTCCTCCTCCTCTCCTCCCACTACTCCTACTTCTTCCGCATCTGGGGGGCGCTCGCCGCGAGTGCGTCGGCGTGCGTCGACGTGGATGGGAGGCGAGGTGAGGCAGGCGAGGGCCTGGGCCTGGTGCAAAGAGGGGTGTGCGTGGTGGAGGCAGGGGGGCAAGGGTGAGGGGTGTGTGGCAGAGGGAGGGAGGGAGGGAGGGAGGGAGGGAGGGAGGGAGGGAGGGAGGGAGGGAGGGAGGGAGAGGAGAAGTTAGATGGAGGGAGGGAGGGAGAGAGGAGCGGGGAGAGAGAGGAGGAGAGAGGAAGAGAGGGAGAGTCTAAGGGAGAGGGCCGACGTCCGAGGCGAGGTGAGGCAGGCGAGGGCCTGTGCGCCGCCCTCGCCCGGCTCGGCGCCCTGCAGCGGCGCGGCGAGGACGGTGACGAGGAGGTGGAAGGGGCGGTTGCCGCAGTTGAAGGACGTCTGCGTGAGCAGCAGCGACGAGAAGTTGGCCTCGAACAGCGCACCTGGAGAAAGCCGGGGGGGGGGGGGGGGGGCTTGAAAGGGCAAGGGCGTGTGCCCGGAAAAACTCGGCTCTTGGCTGGTCTCGTCTGAGCTCGGCTCATCTCGGGTGATCTCGGCTTGAGCTCGGCTGATCTCGGCTTGAGCTCGGCTGATCTCGGCTTGAGCTCGGCTGATCTTGGCTTGAGCTCGCACCCGAGGACGCGGTCAGCCGCTGCACGCAGTCGCCCGACAGGCCCTGCGGTAGGCAGCAGTGGTACTGGTGGGACTCGACGAGGCGGAGCGGTAGATGGGGCGATCGCCGCTCATGTTGGGGCGGGCTGTGTAGCGTGCCCTGCGGCGGTACAGGGGGCCTGCCTGGGCCGGGAAGGGGGCGGGTCGCACCTGGTCGTGCAGCTCCGAGTCTCCCGCAACCAGAGTGCCACATGAGATCATCGCGAGCAGCGGGCGGTCGAGGGGCACGCCGGCGCCGACGTCGACCGACACAAAGATGCGCGGCAGCGACCACTTCTTGTGCCACATCCAGCGCGACCGCTCGCGCCAGTACAGGAGAGGCGTCTGCAGCCGCACCGTCACCGTCAGGTCCGAGTCGCACTCCTGCCCCGTGATCACCGCGCCGCCCGGCATCGCCTTGAGCGGGCAGTAGCAGCGCGCCTGGGAGCACCGTGATGTTGCTGGTGCGGAGAGGGCATCGGGCAACGTGGCAAAGGCATGGGGTCAGCGGTGACGGAGGACGGAAATGTCTCGGAAGTGTCAACGCGCGCCCACTCAAAGGGCAAGTCGGCGTCGCTCGCCGCCGTGCTCGCGGCGGCGTCGGCGGTGGTCGCCCCGCCCGAATGCCCCGGCATCGGCACAGGCGGCGAGGCCAGCTCGGCCATCACAACGTCGGCGCCCGGCCTCGGCGCTCCCGGAGGATCGGTGCCGGTGACGGTGGCGAGGACGGTCGGCTGCAGCGTTGGGTACATCGCTCGCTGCTGCGCCCCACCGGCGAGGGTGGCGAGGATCTCGCCGATCGTGATCTGCTGCCGGCTAGTCTCGGAGACCGAGTTGGCAGCGATCGCGGTCGGATCCTGGGGAGTGGAGCGGCATGTGGCTCTCATGAGCTGGTACGCGGCGCGATGCGTGGCGCCGAGTGGCGCGCTGTTGGGAGGGAGAGATCAGGAGGATTGGAGTTGGCGGAGGCACCTTGTTCGGTGAGGAGGAGGGAAGTGGCGACTGGAGAAGGCCGGTCGGCATCGTGTCGTTTGGGAACCCTTTGCACACCGGTACACCCCCAAAAGAAAGAAAAAAAAGCCGCCCGGAGGAGGACTCTGCTGACATTCGTGTTTTTCGCACGAAGGCCCCGAAACTCTCGAAACAACTCGCAGCGCGCAGGTGTGTGTTCTTTTTGCTTGGCCGGACGTCATGACAGGG